TGTGTTTGGATTCCTTGGGTCTCTTCCGAACATAGGCAACGGGAAATAAATGGATAGCAGTAGCTATGGATTATGCCACTCGGTATGCAATTACTCGAGTGCTACCGACCAGATGCACGACGGACGTCGCAGATTTCCTGACATCATCCTTCAGCATAAAGCTCATTCTCACCTACTCACAGACCGTGGCCGTTGCTTCCTGTCATGTGGTTGACGACCTCTTTAGATGATGTGCAACGCGGCACAACTTTACGACTTCTTACCATCCTCAGACTAACGGACTTACTAGACGGCTCAACCGCACACTCACGAACATGCTTGCTATGTATGTTTCTGATGACCACACCGATTGGGACACTTCCCTTTCGTTCGTAACCTTCGCCTACAACTCGTCCCGTCATAAATCTGCCGGCTAATCACCATTTTATCTTCTCTTTGAGAGTGATTCCTTACTACCTTTCAATACCTTGATTGCGCATGACCTTCCTTCCACCACTTCGTACGCATAAGAAGCCATCTCCCATGCTCTGATCGCACGTACAGTAACCCGCGCCAGGTTCTCATCGTCCCAGAGAGCACAAAAGTCGCTATACGACAGCCTACATAGGGATGTCCATTTTTCTCCGGGTTCTCTCGTGCTATGGCTCCCATCCCGTCATGTCGGCCTGTGCGAGAAACATTTATCGCAATACGTTGGGCCTTACTGAGTTGTGCGCCAAGTCACACCTGTCACCTATAAAATTTATCAAACTACGAACCCCACTGTTACATCCAGAAGTGGCATTGTGCATGTTTTCTCACCTGAAGCCTTATCACAGTGACCCGTCCGTCTAAGAACAGTAGGCACCGGGACGGTGCTTTGCCGCCCGGGGTAATGGCACGGGTATAGAAAGGTACCAGAAATGACGCAGAAGGAATGAAGACGACGATGTTGTTGTGGGGCACTGTCTGGACTGCCCTGCTGTTCTGCATACTTGCACACTGTGTGCAGTGTTAGCCCAACCGGCGTTAACTATTAAATACTCCCCCGTTACAGTATTATTACATGTCACATACATGTCAATTTCTCAACATCTTAAGGTTTAGCAATGGTAGGAAGTGAACAGGGTTAGCACAGTTACGACGACGAACCGCAGGGGCGTTCTCGTGGTGGAACCCCTCACTCTAATTTCATTTTCATTTCATTTCATTTATTGCATCCTTAAAGGCCCGAGGGCATTACATAAGGGCAGGCAACCAACACCCTGTGAGGTTGTACAATTCAATGTGATCAGCTTATCATAAACAATACAGTTCTAAATACGCATATGGAAGTTTGGTCCAGAATGACAACAAAAACTAATCAAGCAATGAACAAGAGAAACTTTTGACTGGGAAAATGAACACAAACAATATGACAAAAAAGTAGTACATACGAGTACGCTGGTAGGATATATTTACAGCCATAGGTTATTGGATTGCGAGAGGTATCGGGTTCGATTCCGAATGCAGCCAGGCTCCTTGTAGCAGTTTTAATAGGAAGGGAAGTGCCCTTACAATGGCGTTCGGTGGTGTACGCACTCATTTCGAGAAGCTGGTCTTTCCTTTTTCTTCTCTTCAATCTTCCACTTTTCCCTCACTTTCCGCCACAATGAGCTGATACTCTTCTGTATGTGTTGAGGAAATGAGCGTCCTGTCTAGCCTTTACTACGTTAGCGTCCTGACTGCCATTACCTACGTTATCAAGCCGTACCAGGTTTATATATGCAGGTTTACGTGTTCCCTGCTGAAGTAAAGCAAATTTTATAAAAGCACACTATATAGCCACCCGTGGCACAGAGAAAATTTTTGTGTGATAGATCTAGCACTAAAAAAACACAGGAGATACAAGCAGAAAAAAAAACGGTGCAGAAAAAGCCAGAACGTGCACTTGTGCCTGAGGGACTTCTTAGTAGGACGGATGGACGGGAGGGAAAAACTTTATTGAAAAAAAAATTAAAAAGCCTGCAAGGTTGCCAGCCTGGGCTCGGGCCATCCAGACATTTTGTGCGGTATAAGGCGTAGCCTTTCCACCGCTGTAAGATAACAGTTCTCAGGGCTCGCGAATGAGTTCAAATTGAATTCAGTTTGTTCTTCGTGTCTGCATGCTGGTTTATTCATACAGCCATATTTAACCAGACGAGATTGTTAGCTCAAAAGATTTTAGCTCAAAAGAAAGCAAGGAGTGCTGGGAAGATAAGGGAAGTACTCAGTGCACAGGACAACCACTGGCTCTGTGTGCTGTGTTTCTCCTATTTTCACTCTTCCTGTCTTATCTACTTTAGTGTTAAAAACGGCCTGTGTTATACAACACCAACCTGCCCAACAGGACGTTTTATTGATTTCATATCAACTCTCTGGTTTTATTGTGATCCAACGGGTAATTTTAATATTGAGTTACGTTGTGTGCTGCATTCGAAATTCTATTGAAAAATACTTGTGCTCTTTTGCGCGACACAGGAGAGAATAATCACAGGTATTCAATTAAAAGACTCTTTTTGTACAGTTACGGTGGTTTACGGTAAGGGGACTGGAGTAAAAAAAAAAATGCTCATCACGCGTCACTCTATTTCTTTATGTTGTGCGAAAACATTGTATAAAAGTAAATATATAGGAAAATATTTTTGCGTCGGAACGCAGTCTGGCAGGTGAGAGAACACAGCTTTGTGCGGCGAAACTGGTGAGGCGTTTAAAAACATCCCCAAATCTGGTGCGCATATTTTGAAGGTGTACAAAAACATATGAATATGAAGTTTCTGTTTACATTGGAGAACAATGCATGTGAACTATATGTTAAAAAACGCCAGGCCTGCGTGGAACGCACAGCACTGGTACAGCCATAGGTAGCGGAAGATGGGCCTTTCAGGGGCCTTCTTTTTTTTTTCACACTCCTTGAATAGCTGCTGCAAGCACACTTCTAAAGTACATGCCACGACATTAACCATTGTGTTGTAGGCAGGCATTCACTATGCCATCATTCGTCATTCTTCGGAAAAAGTGTGGTACCCCGCTGCACACTTGCAAGGAACCGCAAAGGTCTGACGAACCGTTAGTTTTGCATGTTCGTTATAGACGGCAGAATATGCACCTCGTGCGCCCCGTGAGACAGGAGCGCTACTTCTTGTAGCGACCGCTCATCTGCGGTCGACTGTACAACAGCAGCTGCACGATGCTCAGACGGCCAGTCACCTCGGCGCGGCCAGAACGTATGATCGGGTTCGCCGGCGCTTTTCCTCGTCCAGGCTTTACCGCTCCGTATATATACAGCGTTACGTTGCTTCGTGTAAGTCATGCCAACTCCGGAAAAAAAAAAAAACAGCCGTACACTTCCGGGCTCCTTCAACCTATTGACATACTTGCCGAGGCTTTCTTTCGTGTCGGCCTCGACCTTCTCGGTCCTTTTCCTCTTTCTAACACACACACACACAAAAAAACAGTTGGATCGCAGTCGCAACAAATTATTCGACCAGATTGGCAATTATGAGACTTCTCCCGAGCTGTTGCACTGCTGACGTCTCGGACTTTTTGTAACGGACGTCATTTTGCAATGCGGCGCTCTTCGCCAACTTCTCACAGACTGAGGTCGCTACATTATGTCTAAGGTCATCGATTATCTACTTCATTCTTGAGCAACAAAGCACGAGCTTACGATGGCTCACCGTCCCCAGACAAATGGCCTTGCGGAGTGTTTGAATAGCATGATCACTGATATGCCCTCCATGCGTTTTGACTGATCGTCATGACTGGGACACTGCGCTACCTTTCGTCACTTTCGCGTACAACACATCTCGCCATGACACTACTGGATATTTTCTCTTTTATCTTCTCTATGGACGACAGCCAACCTTGAATTTTGACACGCTCGTGCCCAGCCTTACCAACCTGTCGACAGCGTATGCTCCCCATGCTATCACCACGGTCGAAAAGACATGCCCGTCGACGCCTTGCCGACTCGTAAGTGCGTCAGAAGTACACATATGACTGCCATCACCGGAACGTCCACTTTAGTCCGGGTGACCTAGTCCTCCACTGGTCTCCGTATCGACATGTCGGCCTGTCCGAAAAGCTTCTGCCTAGATACTCCGGCCACTACACTGAGCTGCGCCATCTGACTGAAGTTAGGGGACTCGCTCTCTAGATTTCGTACCGACCGGTTGTGCCCCCGCGATCTCCGGCGACAGCACAGCTCTGACCAACTGGATCGTCCCACGCCATCTCCTGACGCCGACAAGAGCTCTCACGGAGGGGTGCCCCGTTCTCGGACTCCTGCAATCGTGTCCATCTTTCCTATCTCCACTTTACTTCCGTCGTTTTCTGTCGTTCGCTGTCCCTGCGCCTCGCTCTTTCCTTCCTCTCTATTTCTTTACCTTTTAATCTTATTCTTTTAATCCCTCCTTTACCTCCCCCCCCCCCTAGTGAGCTACTGTTGAGGTGTCCTCCCCCTAAGAGACAGGTGTGTGAGTGATTTTTTTAAATGAAAAGAAGAGATAAGTAAGCCCCGTAACTAAGTTACTTATGGAATAGCGCTTCACGACCCTATTGCGTCTTTCGCATCTTCAGACGTCGTTCACGTTTCCCAACTGAAGTTGTACCTTTCCGCGCACAACCATTGATAAGCGTCGGGTCGGCGCCTTCACCACACAGCAGGTTGATGTTGCGGTGTCGCAAGTATATTGAAGTGAGAGAGGAAAAAGAGGACGACGTCGGCTGGTGATCAACAAGTGCCATTTTTCGCGGTTGTGTTTTCAGCTGTAAATGTCTCGTAAATATACTCGCAAAAATATTTTGCGTACAAACTGGCTCGGATATAAAATTCGTTGCATATCTGGTTGCTCGCACACGAAGACGCCTACGTACGTGGCATTTCCCAGACAGCGTCTCAAAATCAGTGTAACCGAAACTGAGCACCTCGACTACTATCTCACGGTGATACCGCAACCGAAGAGTGCATTCGTGTTGCTTCATAGTCAGGCAAGCGCGCTCCGCGAGAAAACGAAGACGACGCCAGCCAAGTTCCTGGTCCACAAAGTTATCCTCGTTGTGTGCAGCGGTCCCTGAAGTCAGTGTCGGTTTCGTCGTCACGATGAACGAAGTCCGAGTACTGTGGCTGCTCGCCGCAGTCTCAGTATCGTCAGTATGGGTACACGCAAACGAGTAAGTAACGCCCCTGCATGCCTACATCGATTCACAGATTGCAGCAGTGCAAAATTTAAAGTGTTGCTCACTAATTTCAAGGCAGCACGTTAAATATTTCAGGTATCGTTTGCTTTAATAATGACAAATAATCTTAATGGCAGCAAATTTTAATTTATTGGCCAGTCGATGTATGAAGCATCGCCGGCGGCCGCATAAACAAGGTCATTTCTTTTTAAGAGTGGGCCTGCTCCGGATTGGCTGCAGTGCCTCTGCATGCGAAAGCAGAAGAAACCATTTAAGTCCACTACCTCAAGTTCTTTACGTAAGATTACGTCCGCTCGAAATTAAATATAATACTGTACTTCCCTGATGTTGACGATTTCGTGTAAAAGTTTTTGCACAGCTTTCATGAAGTCAGTCACGAGAAAATTAGTGGGCACCTACCTTATCCTGACTATGCTAGGCTATCGCACTCTCACCTCTACCTTTCCCATGGCACTATACATGGCTATCCCTGCTCTCTTTTTGTCTTCTGTGTCTGTCTCTTGTTGCCTGTAGGTAAACCTCGACCACAAAAGCACGGCTGCAAACTGATGTAGTGCGTACGTGCCACTCCAACAGGGAAAATTCCAGTGCTCTCCGAGCTTGTCCACTGAAAATTTAGGAAATAAATTGGTGGCAAAGAACTGATTAGGGGCCGCGCGTTGCAGCTTTTCTTCTTGACTATATGCACCAAGTGTGCGGACGGTGATTATGCGTTTGCTTGTTCATTATGTGTGACCATTATGACCATATGCGACACACAACTCTCGACCACGACAGTTCAGCTGTTAAATATCGCGTTAGCTTGTCAACGAAAGGAAACAATGTCTCGTCTGTGCCAGTCTTCAAAAACTGGGGGCTGTGGGGACGGCTCAAACGTAAAGCGTAGGAAATCAGCTATATGCCCATCAAATAAACAACAGAGTAGGAAAATATGCTTTTTTTCTTATCGAAAACAACAGATTCTTATATTACGGTCGGGTTAGCTCTACGTACACCTGTTTTATCGAACAAGGACGTGACGTAGGTCATTTGTTGACACTGCACTGAAGATTACACCCTAAGAGCTACATATGAAACATTACAAAATGAAAGAACAACTCTTATTTGTACCAATACTACAAAATGCTTTTAAAGAGAGTGAAATTAGTTGTTTAAGAAGAGTCAGAGAAGTGGGGTTTGAATTTTATTAACACCATTGCAGAAAAAACGGTGATGTTCTGAGGAATTTCGAACAGGCAATACTAATTCTATTTGACAAAGCCCTAATTTCTGCTCGAAAAAGAAATGTATAAATTTCAGTGGCGCAACTATATAACCTAGTCGAGCCCCTAGAATGTTCGAAAGAATATTTCAGCATTCTAACTTCACCCCGACATGATTTTCAACTATTCGAAATTTCCAAGCATTCGAAATGGACGAATACGCGTACGTTATAGCCCATGTAACCTACTGTAAAAGTTATTTTACTGCAGCGTAAAAACTTTATGCCCCTGAAAAAAAAAACCTGCGCAAAAAATTACACTGCCGTAAAGCATCACTTTGAGGTAAACCAGCACCTCCATCACAATTGTCATGATGGAACTCGTTTATTTACACAGTGGAATGATTGTGCGAGGTTCAGCTAAGAGTCAGAAACACAAGCCTTGGCTGCTCGTGAGCCAGACCCGCTTCGACCTCGTTCTCTTCATGCACCCATCGAGCTTGTTTCAATATTATGTAACCTGCTGTTAAGTGGATTCATTGCAGCGCAGAAAATTTATACCATGAAAACACCTGCGCCATATTATGTAACATATTTATTCTACTTTCATAACATGTTTATTCCTCTTTCTTAATATGTCATACATACTATTTCAACTACTCTATTCCAAATTATTTGACCAAGTTTTTATTCGTCTCGATTTCGCTTCAAAAATCAAATTTACTATTCGCACATTCCTAATAGGATAAATAGGTACTCTATTATTTTTTTTCATTTTGATTGCGTTTTCTCCATCTACCTACATACATACATCTTCATAGTCATGCACTAATGTTATAACTCACGCGTGCCTTGCTTCACAACCATTATTTGCTACGTATTTACTTTCTGCAGGATAGAATTTATTTACATGAATAGCATACGCGCTCAAGCTTTCCAAGTAAACTTCTTCCTATTTCACTATAAGTGCCGCTAACAGCAATAAACTAGTTACTTTATCAAAAGCGTACATCAGGTGAATCATATTGTTCCGTTTGTCGACTGCAACACGTGCTATTAAGATAAGCATAATTTTTCGCTTTTGATTTCTCTACTCAGCACACTTCTAACTTGGCCGACGTATGGTGAAATGTGCGCCGATTGTAAAACCTTGCAAGTGTTTATGAATTGGTGCATTCAAATTCATGATTGTACTCGTAGTAAACGCAGTCAATTATGTTCTTTTAACAGCAGATTGTCAGCATATGTTGACATTATTCAGTGTTATCGAACAAGTACAAATATTTATTTAACTAGAACCTTAATTTTGCAGACATATGTAAACACAATCGATAACTCACAAACAGTAGGCAACAACTATCAAATATTAGCATTAAATAATTACTTCGCTGTATTTAGCCCACGTTGTCCTTCATTACCTGCACCAGCTAAAAAAATGGTTGTTCGCGAGTAGATACAATAGGTGCCTGAACGCAGGTCTTTGCCTTGCGCAAATCATGGTGGAGAGTGGGGCACGCCGACGGTACAGTATACTCCCATCAGTATTAGGGACGACGTGTATGAATGCGGGGAAGTCAATTTGTAAGCCGCGTCACCGAAGCACGGAATATCACCGTAGCTGTGCGTGCCTAGTCGACTGCGCACAACGACGCGTTTTCTGGGGAAACTGAATAAAGTCCGAATGATATGTCTTGTGCTGACACAGCTAGGGGAAGCGTAGCGTCCCCGTCGTCGCGCGTGGTCGACGCGGCACAATCAGCTGTGCAGAGAGCCTACTTTTGAGGTATGATCGACGACCAGAAAAGGGAAGCACACCGCCTGCTGCGACTCCATTCAGTTTCCCCAGAAGATGCGTCGTTGCGTGAATTCGACTAGGTACGCACCGCTAGGGAGATATTCTGTGCTTCGGCGACACAAGTGTGACGTATGTTGAAACGCGGCTCACAGATTCGCTTCCCCTTAGGCATTCTTACGCGTCGTCTCTAATACTGAGACACGATCTCTTAATTGCACAGCTGCGCACACAGAAAGAGAACGCACCCCGAACTCTGCAACACATGGCTCATACCGTTAATTAAAACGGCCAACGTCGCACACGCGAACAAGTTCATCACACACGCACTCGCGAAATGCCCGGCAGGCGACATGCACCATGGACGACATAAACCCCTCATGGGGAAGTCACAACTACAGGGGCCAATTTCTTTGCCAAATTCGGTGGCAATCTGGCAACAACCACCCCATAGTCTGGCAACTGAGGTATGCAACGCCAAACAGAACCTTGCCCACTGAGGCGTGCAACCCCATTTAAAACTATACCACGTGGTTGATGTACGTCACTTGACGATTGGGCTCGTTCTTCGCAGCGAATGCATCGTCGTGACGCCAAACGTGCTGCGACTCGGGGCACAGGAGACGGTGGTGGTCATGGTGAGCGGGCATCGTCAACCTGTCAACATGACGCTTGAAACCCACCCAGCCGGACGTCGTCCGTTCTTCCAGAAGACGTTCGATGCAGTTCCAGGTACGTCGGTTCACCGAAAATTATTGTGATAGCCTCATATAATATGGTGATTGCCCCGCTAAGGCGTTCCTGCAGTACAGGCTACTTCTCTTGTCTGTGATTTCCATACGGCGAGGATGTGTAGGCATTCGCATTTAACATCAATAGTAAATTGCGAAATTCATATTGTGATGAATATTACTTCGGCTCTCTATGGGCATGCAATTGTGGTAATAAACTCGCACGGTATGAATGGGTGGAGAGATCAATGCTATGAGCGCTATCTATATAACAGGATGGTAACCAGTGCACCACCAAGCTCGAAAAAAAAAACGTTTTTAACAGCAAAGCCGCTCAAGCTGGGCGTATGGCGTGATCCGTAATAAAAAACGCAAATTTCCCACTGAAAGTGGGTGTGGTCCAAGCAGCTCCTATCATAGCATAGGCATGCACAGTATATTATAGCAAGAAGATGAGAAACAGAAATGAAAGTCAGGGTGAATGGTGTAAGGCTGAGGAAGAATAAATGAAGAGGAGGCCATAGATAACTAATACGTGCCGTGCAGCCTCTAGCATACTAGCACACTAAATTATAGCAAGAGTGTGGGAAAGAGAAGTATGGTGAGCAGGAGTGATACGAGGGTTAAGAGGAAGGAAGAAGAATGGGAGAAAGTAAAGGATAGCGTAGCCCTGTGTTTTGTAGTTTAGCGAAGTAGTAGGCTTTGTGTGTGTGAACCATCGAATGTACATGCGTTTTCCGTGTCATTTCATATGCATGATCATGTAAATGAAGTCTGTTTTGTCATCATTGTTATTGTATTTCTAAGAAGAAAATGTTCTGTTGAATTTTGTAGTTTAGCGAAGTAATAGGCTTTGTGTGTGTGAACCATCGAATGCACATGTGTTTTCCGTGTCATTTCATATGCATGCTCATGTAAATGAAGTCTGTTTTGTCATCATTGTTATTGTATTTCTAAGAAGAAAATGTTCTGTTGAATTTTGTAGTTTAGCGAAGTAATAGGCTTTGTGTGTGTGAACCATCGAATGCACATGTGTTTTCCGTGTCATTTCATATGCATGCTCATGTAAATGAAGTCTGTTTTGTCATCATTGTTATTGTATTTCTAAGAAGAAAATGTTCTGTTGAATTTTGTAGTTTAGCGAAGTAATAGGCTGTAGTGCCATCATCATTGCCATCATTTCTTGATCACTGCGCCGCGCCTCTCGCGCAGCTGATGCTAGCTCGAGCTGTGCGAGATTTAGAACGAGCTCACGCACCTGGCGTGTCGGACGTGGACAGCCACCGCGGCTCCTCTTCAGGCGTGCAATAAAGTGGCGAGATCAGCACGGCCCCGTCGGCCGCCTTCGACGCCGTCTCACGTCTCTCTTCTCTCGCCGCTACATTTGGTGACCCGGAGAACACGCCCTTCGCCGAACGGCCCGCTGCCATGTTCCCGCAACTCTGCCCGCCAGTGCCGCCGTTCCAATCAACCTACCCCAAGGTATGGTTTATGCAGCTCGACGCCGTTCTTGCGGTGAATGGCATCACGGACCAGCTGCTGATGCACGCCATTCTTCTCGACGCCCTTCCGGTAGAGTTGCGCCATCTCGCTGCCACTTCAAGCACCAGCCCGCAGCCTTACGATGCCCTCTGCACTGCGGTGCTCGCCCGCAGCGGCAACACATACCGTCCGCTTCCGTTTACCCGCACCAGGCAGGTTTCCCCGGCGTCGCAGAGCAAGGTACGAACCGGTCCGCAGCCCTCCATTGACCGCTACCTCGGTACCCCGGCTTCGACTACTTCTACACCTGATCCGGTCGCAGAAACATCCACTCCTGCACCTGATCACGACCGCGAGGTAGAAGACTCCCCCACTGCGACTGACCTTCCCTCCGAGAGGTACATTCCCTCAGAGCCCCAGTGCAGAGCTTCATCACACGTACCTGCTACCTGCACGTTTTCCACGAAAGCGACGGCACGCGACACCGTGGCCCTCGCCGTTTCCGCGACCACCAGCTCAGACGTCTCGGCCTCCTCCTTGCCGCAGCTGCTGGTCAGCCCCTCGACGGTGCCCCCTGCCGCTCCGCCACCTGCCACTGGTGCCAGCAATGGCCTGCCGGGTGCCTCGCCACATTCCACTCGCACCTACCCGGCCAGCAGCCGACCACACTCGGCGTCCCCGCTCCCCGCCCCTGTCCCTGTCTCTGTTTCGTGGTCTACGACGGGCCCCAGCGCCGTGCCTTCGCGGAGCCAGAGCCTGCCCTCATCGTCGGCGTCGACACCGGCAACCACCAAAGCAACTGCCACCGTCGCCCCTCTGCCCGTGGCGCCGCAGCAGGCACCTGCGTCGAGACCCGGCGTCGCACAGGTGGTATTGGCCAGCCCCAGTCCTCGCACCTCTGGTGCCCCCCGGCTCATCCAGCCGAAACAGCCACAGATCCTGCCCAAGCTGTCGAGCGGTAGCGCGAACATGACCACGCCTTCGGCAGCGGCGACCACCCGGTCCCAGTCTCCCCGGGCGGCCCAGCACAAGGACACACCGCGGCCCGCGCCTGTACCAGCGCCGCAGCCTGCGACCACGGTGCAGCGCGGAGCCGCGATGGGGCTCAACACGGGGAGTCCGCTGCTCATCGGGAACCCCGCGGCAGCGCAGCCGGGCATGTTTCCGGCTGGACCTGCGCAGGGCACTTTCCTGCTGAACCAGTACATTCCGGGCCTGGGCCACAGCCCGATTCTGATACAAGGCGCATCGGGGCAGACCCAGAGCTCTCTGGGACAGATACAGGGGGTCCAGCTGGCCCTGCGGCCACCCCATGCCACGGGCCTGACCCTGGGACCTCAGACGGGGCCCAGGCCCCATGGGGGACATACAAGACCGCCTGGCACCCCGACGCTTGTCATCCCACAGAACCTGGGGCCAAGGCCCAACATCTTTCTGGCACCGCCACGCATGATATCGCCCCCCTCGTTTGCCATAGTCCCGGGACAGCCACTGACGCTGCAACAGCTGCAGGCCATGCTGCCCACGCAGACCATGCTGGCCCAGCCCACACTGGGTGCGTTCCAGACAGACCAGCACCAATCCCTGGTGCAGATACCGACGTTCACCCAGCCGCAGATACTGGCGCATGACCACCATCACCACCACCACCATCATGGGGCCCTGTCGGGACCTCTAATCTCGACAGGCGGCAGTATAGTGTCCTCTGCACCCAGCGCCAACATTGTCACCCACCATCCTGTCATGACCTCGCGACACACGGTCCACTCTCGGCATGTCCGACCAGGTCACCGTGAGACCCGCTTGTCAGCTACCACAGTGACCCGGCACTTCCTCCTTCGTCCCTTGCGCTTCTCCCAGTGTCGCCCGCCAGAGACCCGCTGCTTACCGATGGCCAATCAACGTTGACAACCTGGACTTTCCAAATGAACACTTTATGGATTGTCGTTCATGTATATAGCATTTCTCGCACTCTTTTTTTTTTCATATGCCTTCGAATCGCGCAAAGCGCTAGGGAGGGAGCCCTGTAGTGCCATCATCATCGCCATCATTTCTTGATCACTGCGCCGCGCCTCTCGCGCAGCTGATGCTAGCTCGAGCTGTGCGAGATTTAGAACGAGCTCACGCACCTGGCGCGTCGGACGTGGACAGCCACCGCGGCTCCTCTTCAGGCGTGCAATAAAGTGGCGAGTTCAGCACGGCCCCGTCGGCCGCCTTCGACGCCGTCTCACGTCTCTCTTCTCTCGCCGCTACAAGGCTTTGTGTGTGTGAACCATCGAATGCACATGTGTTTTCCATGTCATTTCATATGCAAGCTCATGTAAATGAAGTCTGTTTTATCATCATTGTTATTGTATTTCTAAGAAGAAAATGTTCTGTTGAAATATTATCGATGTTTGTGACAATAAGTTTTTCTTAACAGGAAAGGAAAGTAACAGTGAGGAGCACACGGGTGAGGAGGAGAGAAATATTATCAGAGGGAAAGGAGGATGTGAGAAGATGCGAAATAAAGAATGCGAAATGATGAGGGAGAGCAATAAAGAAATAGATAAATAAATACTGATAAATAAACACGAGAGTTATTAGGGAAAAAATAGCAATCTGCGTTCATCGGGTGCTGGCGAATGCTTGTCAAGCCAAGTTTGGCATGTCATAGGTGCATATGTGTTTACTCCAGCATCAACAGCGCCATCACTGGACACCTCATAACGGCAATGACACTCTCGTCTGTCGTAATAACGATGGTGCTGATAGAACTTTCTCAAGTATGACGACATTTATTACCCGTGGTTTGTGCACAATGTTGTGGATGGTAATAACGGGTCGTATTTCCTGCAACCATCTGTCTAAACGGGAAGAGTTGGCTCGCAGGTTCCCCGTTGACGGCCGAAGTGTCCGTAGGGTCCGACGATCTCACCGAACTGCAGCTGTCCAAGGAAGGCATGGAGGTGACCCTGACGGTGCAGTGCGGATCTCTGTGGACGCGACAGGCGCGACTCGGCGTGAGCGCCTCTTCGGCCGATCTTCTTTTCCTGCAGACAGACAAGCCAATCTACCAGCCGGGAACCACTGGTGAGTGTCCTATAACGACTTCATCACCGTTAGACTTATGCACGTACTACTATGCGTAACAACAAACGTTCGCTATCTCGTCTGCATGTGGCTTCATTCATTTCCGGTGAGCAATGTTTTTTTCAGAATTTTCACAATTAATTTTACCTCTTTACGACTGACGCAATCGCGTGGTTACATTCCCCACGAATTTTGATTCTTATCTAGCCAATAACTGTAAAATCACTTATAGCTCTCTCACTTAAAAATTGGAAACGGCCGGTTGTCAATATATATATATATATATATTATATATATATATATATATATATATATATATATATATGACGTATGAAGGCATGGTAGAAGCCGATGAAGAAGAAGTGGTTGAGAACAGAATAAACATGGGTATGAGCCAAGCCACGTCTCCAATACATCATAGCGTCACACGAGTCGACAGGATGGAGACCTGCCTGCCCCTTCATCAGTCGCTCAGCATCAACGCAGTTCTACGCAAGACACCCTGACCACACATGGACAACCGTGCAAGCGCCTAGCATTACGCATCGACCAGCATCATGTCAGAAGCATCTACTGACCTTCCCATCCCCAAGTACACCGGAGCAGCGGACGATGGACCCGTACAAGACTGGTTCGACCTGTTCGAGCTCCACGCTACCGCTGCATCATGGTCGGAACGGGAGACGGTCATCAACTTTACTGAATACATCTCAGGTGAGGCATTCAAATTTTACCTCACCCAAATCTTGGAGAACGATGAGTCTTGAAAAAAGATCAAAGAAGAAATGATCACCCGTTTCAAAGAATACTATGAAGACCTGTCCATACCTCATCAGCGGAAGGCTTTTCAACTCACCCATTACAGTTACGCCAAGTCTTCCCGCAGTAAGCCTATTTTCCAAGTGAGACCTCAGAGACAATATACCACCATTGTACCGTCATATAACTCTTCCGAAAAAATGTCACGCATTCGAACACCGACCGGTAACTTGCACGTCGCAACAGACAAGGTAAAGCCTCCGTATACCGAAAGGAATCTAGACCATTTCGCCAAAAGACAAAACCTAAAGCCGTCTTTCTCAAGAGCAATGAAATCGGCATTTCCAACGTGTTCACTGCACCACAACACTTCAGATTTTACTGAACCACCCGAATCCCTTGATGCTTCGTGTCACACACAAGGCCCAGATGGTTTCGAACGTGCGATGGAATTTCCGCGTGACGAGCTGGTGAATCCTCACAATACCAGCCCATACCCTGACGTTCCGGACCAGGGTCGTTCGACAGACATTCTCAGCCCAATCACGCTGCAAAAAGAAAAACATACGCCATCAGAACCATACGAATCCATGTGTGTTGTGTTCTCATCGTCAAGTGATAACACACATAGGAGTTAAAGCACTGCAGGAATTTTGAATCCACCAACGCCGGAGCATTTTCAACTGACAGAAGCATTTACAATCAATGATGACTCACAGCCATCTTGGGAGCTTTCTCATCAGTCTGTCACACTGCTTTCATCGCAAGACAAGCCCAGCAGTACAGTATCGACTACCGACTATCTACTGATCACATCACCATGCAAAGAAAAGCAGACTCACGTTCCTGCAAGATGCCCATCTGACCAACTTTCGCAACAAAACGAGCAATTTCAACAAAGGCAACTCCATGAACACCAGGAACTACAACGGCTACTCGAACAAGAACAACAATCAAGTGAAACCTTCTCACGAGTACACTTGTGGCTTAATGGTCATCAGAGACAACAGCAATTAAAGAAGCAAAAACAAAGTCAATGCCTAAGCCATATTCGCAGAAGGCTACCAAAGAGATATGCAGCTACAACGTGTACAACGAAGGAACACAGGCATCGTATCATCAGCTTCGGTTCTCGCACATGCAAGCTGCAAGCACTCGTTCTGTCTCAGCCACGTCACAGAAAGCAGCGTCTACGACGGAGAACTCCGTGCCTACGACATCCGACCCTCGAATGCTACAAGGACTTCCACCCTTGTTCATTGCTCACAAGAATTGTTGTGTCGTCAGTAATTTCTACCTTCCGACCGTGTTTCTGTTGGCCAGAACGCAACAGTCAACCTCGCCCACCAGAGTTGTTATCGAATTCACGGAACAGATCTCTCGGCCTTGAAGATTTCGTGAGATTGTGGAACTCCTTCTGGACGTGAAACTGAATTTGGCCATTACTTTGTGTATACTCCTCTTGAACTTGTTCTACTTTGTAACCAGTACCATATTTCGGGGGGAGGGGGAATCATGTGACGTATGAAGGCATGGTAGAAGCCGATGAAGAAGTGGTTGAGAACAGAATAAACATGGGTATGAGCCAAGCCACGTCGCCAATACATCATAGCGTCATATATATATATATATATATATATATATATATATATATATATATATATATATATATATATATATATATACAAGTGACACACAAAAAGGAACAAATGCCACAAAAGATATAATCAATGGTACTAAAGACTACTCTAAGCATTTTTCAAACAATAAAAGTCATTCTTGTGTTACAATGTTATTAGTTAGGTTGTTCCAATCAGCAATAGTTCTACAGAAGAAAGAGTACTTAAAGCAATTATTTCGTGGAAATAAAGGAGCTATCATTGAAGAGTGTCTTTGCCTGGTAGCATAACGCTCAGAAAAAGTGATAATGTGGGAAGTGTCTATGTTGTAATGTCCTTTAACTGTTTGGTACAAGAGTTTCAGTCGACAAATTTTATTTCTCTTCGTAACTGTGGGGAGCCCACTTCGTTTGATGACCTCAGTAACTGACGAACGACCATAAGAATTATAAATATAACGCACTACTTTTTTCTGTATTCTTTCTAATTTGCTGATGTTTCTTTTGGTGTAAGGGTCCCAAATTGGCCCGGCATATTCAAGCATGGGACATATAATTGACTGGTATGCAAGGAAGCGTACAGAAGGAGTTGCTAATTTTAAGGGTCGTCGCAAGAAGAACAATTTACGTAACGCTTTATTTGTGATGACATATATATGTTTTGACCATGATAGATTATTTGTGAACCATAAACCCAGGTATTCATATTCAGCAACCTCCGAGAGGCCTATTCCATTAGCTGCGTAGTGAAATAAAAGTGGCTTCTTTTTGTGGGTTCTTCGCATAAAGACCGTTTTGTCGTAATTAATAGTCATCTGCCACTGTTCGCACCATGAAATGATTTTTGGAAATTATCATTTAACCTAATCTGGTCCTGAATTGAATTGACAGTTTCATAAATCCCGCAGTCGTCTGCATAGAGTTTAATCTTAACATTAATGTTGGTGGTGATGTCATTTATAAAAATTTAAAAATAACAGAGGCCCAAGCACGGACCCCTGAGGTACGCCAGAAGCAACTTCAACTCGGTTGGAGCAGGTGCTATTTAGGGAAACGTATTGTTGAATTAAGGAAAGAAGTGTATACCTAAGGGCTCGTTATCCGTGTTTTTACACAATATTAATGAGATCTAACAGACAATAATGCTAAGGAAAGTATAGGGGAAGATATTGGACCAAATTGTAATGTAAATATTACATTACAGAAAAGTGAGTGAAAAGATAACTTGCCGTGGGCAGGATCCGATCCTGCGACCTTCGAATGACGCGTTCGATGCTCTACCTATGAGCTACCACGACAGCTATCCCCCCAGCCACTTTGTAGGGTTTATATGTGAATTTAAACGTGGAAGTGTCAGTCAGCACCACCATATATATATATTGCAACGAGCAAGGTTGCGCAAAAACACAGGTTATTATTCGAGAAACGTTAGCCGCAACAAGCTGGTACAGGCGGGAACCCGGCAAGCACGAGCCACCCACGGACGTCAACGTCTTCTTTCACGCTGGCACAAAGCTGGCGCCACTATGCTTCGCTACAATTATTCCCCGCGCAGAAAGGAGCCAACCTGGCGACCTAGGAAGGGGACACGACAAGGGGGTCATAGCACGGTTTTAGGCGTGATACGTGTACTGTTTCACGCCCACGGCAGCGTTGGTCCGAAGGTGAATCAATGGGCTCAACTTCATAGTTGACAGGAGATGTTTGCCGCGGCACACAGTAGGGGCCATGGTATTTCGACGAAAGCTTCGGGAAAAGACCGGGAGGGGTAGACGAGACCCAGAGCCAAACCAGCATTCCTGGGTTATTGTGTACAGTAGACGCAGAGGAATCGTGGTCAGTTTTCTGGCGCCATTGGTCTTGTGCGGTAAATGAGCGAGCGAGTTGACGACACTCTTCGGCATAAGCAGCTGCTTCGGAAACAGGCGTCGCTTCGGAAACATCAGGCCTGTAGGGGAGAATGGTGTCCATGGAGCATGATGGCTCACGTCCGTACAGGAGGAAGAAAGGAGAAAAGCCAGTGGCTGTTTGTGGCGCAGAGTTGTACGCGTACGTGACAAAAGGGACCACTTGGTCCTAATTAGTGTGGTCGTCAGAGGCGTACATGGCAAGCATATCTCCAAGGGTACGGTTAAAGCGTTCCGTCATGCCATTGGTTTGAGGATGGTATGCCGAGGATTTCCGATGGTCAGTGCGACATGCCTTGAGCACCTCGTCGACAGCGTTCGAGAGAAACACGCGTCCACGGTCACTCAGTAATTCACGAGGTGCACCGTGTCGCAAAATCAGATGGTGAAGAAAGGACGCAACGTCTTTCGCAGTGGTAGCAGGCAGCGCAGATGTTTCAGCGTAGCGTGTCAAATGATCGACGGCGACGATAATCCACCGGTTGCCTCGAAGAGAGTTGGATAGAGGACCATAAATATCAATTCCGACGCGGTCGAATGGTCTCGCTGGGCAGGTTAAGGGTTGCAAAGGGCCAGCAGTGCTGTGAGAAGGCGTCTTGCGTCGTTGACACGTGGTGCATGACCGAACGTAATGGCGAGCGTGCCGATACATGCCGCGCCAGTAGTATCTTAGACGAAGGCGAGAGTAAGTCTTAAATACTCCAGCGTGGCCACAC